TTTGGTTTAAAAACGTCGTTTTTAATTATACAACAACAATTTTAATAACAATATTTTTAAACGATTATTATTATTATTATTCTTCATTAAAATGTATTTATGTACTATTATTTTATCCTTTTTTATTATAGTGTAACCACATTTCAGGCGTTTGCGGTTTCTTCGCTGTTGAGTTTATTCTGAAAGTCCAAAGCGGATGTGTGGGCACACTAATGACGCTGCTTTGACACCGTCGCTGTTTCACAACTGTGTGGAAGCAGAGGGGCTGTAGCGACTTGAAAGGGACCATCGCATACCATGAAGGACTGACCTGCCGCACAGTGCCGATATTTTAGAGGTCCTCGTCTCGTCTTTTTTCCTCAGTAATGAGAGTCTGGATGACTGCAAAGCGCCCCCCTAAACGAGACACTGCCGAGGACGCGATTTTTGAGGTGTAGTTATATTAATGGAATAAAGGCAGGTAAGGCATCACACTCAGCCGATAGGTGATCTGTAATAGTGCGACGCCGTTTTGAGCGCCTATATGTGATGTGACGGTAGATGCTGTTATCAATGTGTTTTCTTGCGTGTTTTTCTCGCCACTCTGAGGTGACTAAGTCCCGTTATGTTTCCTGATATGTGGGGAAATCGCAGCGCAAACGGTCGGTAATAATGGAGCAGTGTGCAATGCAGGCTCTCAAAGTGACAGTGTGGAGGTAGTAACAGGCTGTCCCTTTAAAAGCCGCGCTGCCAGAGAGGCTGAAAGGCTGGAAAACAAAACAGTTTGGCCAAAAATGTCCAGCTGCAGTTTCAAGGCTGTAACTTGGACATCGCGGGTTGTCACGCGTGGCTTTAGTCAAAAATGCCGATGTTACGTGCGCGGTCAGTCTGGGGCCACACTAACACTGAATTGCGTTTTAACTCCAGAATGCGCTTGAAGACTTTACAGGCATGCCTGTCACTCCCTCGAAAAGCGGAAAGACATCAGAGGAGGTGTGGATGTGGATGCTCCTTAAACGAGCACCAGATGTGCTCTGCTGCAATAATCATTATGTAAATACAGAGTGGAGTGGGGGGGGCAACAAGATTATTAAAGTGTGGATTAACGCTTAATTATTTGTAAATACTCAAACTCTAATTAACATCATCCATAAAGGGATTTACGTGATTTCAGCCGTAGTTTCAGTGTTTAAATGAAATAGTCTCAAATTTCATACAATTTCTGCTCAATCTGGTGTCTCAGTAGACTGTATATTGTTTATTTACTGTTTGTGATTACTGTCATACATGGCCCTGCACACAGAATCTGTGCATATGCTTCTGAGGAAATAAGTCAGTGGAGATGTCCCTGCATGTTCACAAGTGTTGAGGTTGTACTGTAGCAGTGGGCTGCTTGTGTAGGCGGCTAAACCAGAGGACCGGTGAGTAGGTTTGTCCTGATGCAGTGAATCAGCCTGCTATTAGTGGTACATGTTCTGGCAGACAAGGTCGGAAAATGAAAGCGGCTTATGTTTGAGGAGTGCAGAAAAGAATATGCTGCAAACATTAGTGCTGAGGAGCAGTTAACCAGAGGATCACTCGACGTAACTAAACTGCTAGATCTACATAGGAATTTAAGCAGCTATCTTACTTCTTTTCTTTTTATTATGCACCACTAAAAGGTGTGTCGCCTTTTTTCCTTTTATTTGTTGTTCCTTTATAGTTGCTTATCTACTGCGCGTGAATGGCTTTTGATCAGTCAGGTAATGGGAAACGGGAGTTCAGGGAGATTCTGGGTTGGCATCTAAAAGCTTTGTGTCTGAAGTAGAAAAAAACCTGTAATTTTCTATAAATAGAAATCTGAATTTGAACGAATGAATAAGTCTTGATAAGCACTGATTTCTTTTATTGAGAAATGCTGGATTTGGAGGGCCTGTGTCTGACATCAACACTGTAGATTTAATCAGGTGGGTGGGTGTATGACTTGCAAACAAGTATAGACTTTTTGTTGGCTTTAATTGATAGAGGAGTAGAGAGCACACAGGAAAGTGCAGAGAAAGCAAAGTGGAATGACACAGTGGAAATTCTCCAGGCAGGATGTTTGGGCACACTAATGACGCTGTTTTGACACCGTCTTTTGGCATCTTAGTCACCTGATCAACCAAGTGAGCACTTTTTACGTGAAACTTCAGCAGCCTTTTTACTGATTTCAGACTTTTTGTACTATACGATCATTTTTGAATTGCATGTGTTGTTTCCCTACACATCATCTCTGATGTTGCTCAGCATGTAGCCCAGATATTTGTGCTTGGATAGAATGTGTCTTAAGTCGGAAAGCACTCCTTAGAAATGAAACTAAAGCATCAAAGGAGGAACTGGAGCTGTCATACCACCAGTGTATTTATCACAAGCCAAGCTTCCTCTCCCAGGAAAGTCCTTTCCTTCCCTTCTGAAAAGTTCCCAAACTGTGCTGCCAAGTCATGCCGAGTCGCGGCACACTTTTTCTACACACCAGCCTCTCTTTGGAAGTGTGTGAGTCAGCTGTGGAATCCACTTAACAAAATTCTCAGCGCATTTTAATGACTCCCAGTAACTTCACAGTATTCATGACTGTGAAAATTCTCCCGTTTACAGGCGTCAATTTGCAACTTTTGTTCTCCAGTTACTTTGGAAATGAGAGCAAGCTGTACCTCTGAATCAGAAAGTGTGTAAAGGATTAGTGGCCATAAGTCTTATTAGCCTGAGAAAGAGGAGGAGGAAGGGGGTTAGGGAGCATGCATCCATTTTGTGACTGATGAACACGGCCCTTTGAAGAGCATTGAGAAGGCCTATTGTAAAAGACCATTGTCTGGCTGCTTGCTGCCACGGTAACACTCTCACACTGGCAGCAGGACTGAAATGCTGCAGTCAGAAGTGACAAATGCTTTGCCAGGAGAGAAAAAAAGTGAGAAAAGAAAGGCTTCATTTTTACCTTGACTCCGCAGAGCGGATTGAAATTCAATTTGGAGGATGTTTCACAAGACAGCAGCTTTGTTCTCAGAGAAAATACCCACTTATAGGAGTCAGCGAAGACATTTGCAAGCAGTTTCGTTTACAGAGCATCTAACATGCAGAAAGCAGAGCCTTATGTTGTTGCTTAGGTTGATAAAGAGGACTGGTGAAGGCTGGAATTCCTTCCTGGCCGTTTTCCTTTCCTGACCTTTTTTGCCCTGCATTGTTTCTCCGTGCTCGCTCCGTTGTCTCGTTTGTATATCCTTTCCGTGCCAAGTGTAAAATCAACAACTGGGGACACAGGAGCCTTCTTGTGGTGGAGCAGCTAATATTGCAACTTCAAGTTTGGAAACAAAGTATTTTTAGACTTTCGGGGCAAAGTTTTCCCCTTTTTTGGATTAAACTCTTACCCTGTTGACTTTCTCCGTGTGTAGGAATGTGCCTGTGTTATTTATTTCGAGGCTCTGGTTGAGACGGATTGGTGAAAGTGGGGATTGCACTGATGGGAAAATACACCAGAAAAAGGCGACTTTTAGGGATCGTGTGTGCCCATCAGTGCGTGAGCTTCCTTCTTTGTATCAGCTCTTCACAAGCACGCCTCCCAAACGTTGCAGTTTAATTCCAGCTAACTTGGCATTTAATTTATTGTTGTTGAAAATACTGAACAGGTTATCCAAATAGCATCAAGCCTGGCTTTGTGCAGAGTTCTGATGAGCTGGCAGTCAGACTCGCTCAAGCAGGATTAAGATGGAATGTTTGGCAGAGCTGGTGATGGCCGCTGACGTATCTTTTACTCGTTTCTAAAGTGCAAAACTGTCGTTTTCCATTCTGCTTTTGATAAAGAATAGTTTTGGCCTGTTTTCTGTGGTTTGGATAACAATGATAGCCCTCTGCCACACAAGATTACAGCATGTCGGCGCAAGCAGGCAGGCGGTATCTGCACGCTACCAACTTGCAGAATTTCCTGAGAGCTGTTTCGCTTCATCTGTACAGCACTTGCAGAACTGTAAATGTTTCTCTTTTTTTCTCCCCACCTGCAGTTTATACAGCAGCAATGTCTGGAAAATCAGATGGGAAAAAGAAGTGGGCGGCGGTCAGGGATCGCCTGGGTTCCTCGCAGGACTCTGACACTCAGCAGGAAGCCAACCTGGAGAATTCTGATCCAGAGCTGTGCATCAGACTGCTCCAAGTCCCCACTGTCGTCAACTACTCTGGGCTGAAGCGTCGCCTGGAAGGCAGCGATCAGACATGGATGGTGCAGTTCCTGGAGTTAAGCGGGCTGGATCTCCTCCTGGAGGCCCTGGACCGTCTCTCCGGGCGCGGATGCTCTCGCATTGCAGATGCTCTCCTGCAGCTCACCTGCGTCAGCTGCGTCCGAGCAGTGATGAACTCGACGGCGGGGATTCACTTCATCATAGAAAACGAGGGATACATTCGGAAGCTCTCCCAAGGTTGACCACAAATGCGCTTTCCCAGTGTCGTGTTGATGCCTCTGCTCAGTCTCACATGGAAATAAACGTTCCAGATATTTCATTGTTAAAAGTTCTTTCAAATAAAGCCGTCTCCTCTTTAATGGCAGGAGATTTGACCTTTTTTTTTTCGTGTTTTATGTAACATTTGTAATATTGTGTTAAAGTGGTCATAGCTCACATGATTAAAGGGTTCTCTGTGACTCATTCTGTCAAGCTGAATTTTCCAGGCATGTCCTCAGCTTTAACATGCAGACATGAGTCATTAAGGGGACATCCCTGAATTTGTAATGTGACAGTGTGCTGTGAATATTGGATTTCCCCACCTACAGACACATATTTATCTACAGTACAGCAACAGATCTTTAGAGGGCAAAGTTCAAGTAGTGTTGCCTCAAAGACGGCAAAACAATCCTTTTACTTTAGGTCTGGACACAAAGCGGAAAGAGTAGACACGGGGGAATTATTTTAAGGAAAACTGATATGGAAAATAGGAGAATTCATCCTTTGCTGATGTGTGCAATCATTATGCTACACAGCGTTGGACACCTCCAACACCATGGTGAAGAAGCAGGTGTTTGAGCTTCTTGCAGCCCTCAGCATGTTCTCTCTGGACGGTCATCGGCTGGCACTTGACGCCCTGGAACATTACAAGGCAAGCAGATTAAACCTGTAGAAAAGTTAGCAGAGCTCCATTCTGACTTTCCTCTCACATCTCAAATGTGGTTTCTCCTTCAGGGCGTAAAGACACAGCAGTATCGCTTCAGCGTGATTATGAACGAGCTCCAGGCCACAGATAACGTCCCTTACATGGTCACGCTCCTCAGTGTCATCAACGCTCTCATCTTTGGGACAGAGGACCTCAGGCAGCGGGATAGGATGAGAAAGGAGTTCATCGGTAGGTTTGGCTGCTCCTCAACAGTTAATTCCTTTACTGTCCTGTTATAGGAAAAGGTGACGCTGTGGGTAAACTGTTAGCTCAAAGTGAATACAAAGGGGGAAAGCAGGCCATGGGCAGGAGCGCTCATACGAATATATCTGTCACTGGGTCTGACTAAGAATAGGTCTCCTGGCCTCATTCTCACTTTTACAAAATGCCTGAGAATTAAAAAATAAATAAATTCAAGCCTTTATTAGATGGTGTAATTCATTCATTTTGCACCACAAATCAGCAGAAATGAAAATATCACCACTCTCAGAATAATTGGGCAGCATTAAACCTTGAATGCAGAGTAGGCCGTTTCCTCTGAGGGCCACTAGTGTATATTCTGTGCAAACACTGGTTTAACCTTTGACTAAGTTAACAGTTATTTTAAATGAGGAACAAGTGTTAACCGCCAAGCTTCCTGAAGAGCACCACATTCATGATGGTTTGAGAAATATCCCATAGCTTCTCTCCCCCAGCATATTAGTTTTGGACCAATCAGCCACCTGATTGGTCCAATTGGTTTGGACCAATCAGCCACCTGATTGGCCACGCCTCCTTTCTGATTGTTCACCTGTGACTTCCTGGAATTTCCCCCCAAACTAACATATAGTCCTGTGTGGCGGCAGGAGACACTGTTTGTAAGACATTTCATGATTTCTTGTTGTTTTACTCGGAGCTGTGTCATTTTGTGTTATTTTGCTTGCAGGGCTTCAGTTACTTGATGTTCTGCCAAAGCTGAGGTGAGCCATCCTTCTGGTGTTCACATTTGATTATTTTTTTCAGCCTCTTAATTTCCGCAATAAAGTCGCTGAGGTACATTTTTAAAGGTTCCTTTTTAAAAGCTATAATCACCGCAAGTGAAATGGTGCTTTTAGAAAAATAGTTTTGTGATGTATTTCCATTAATGGCATAAATTGGATCAAAGGTCCTTGTCAGAACTTTTTAAGGAAAAAACACTGAAAATGGGACTGAACTAAACTATGAACCGAGCTATGACTGTAATACGCGTGTGTGCGTTTGCAGGGAGCAGGAGGATGAAGACTTGATTATTCAGTGCGAAGCTTTTGAAGAGGCGATGGCTGAAGATGAGGAAGAGCTCCTGCGAGTGTATGGGGGCATTGATATGAGTAATCACCTGGAGGTTTTTACTACACTTTTTAACAAGGTGAGAAAAGCTTATTGAAATGGCTCTGTCAACTCCTCCTAATAAAAAATATAGTCCATCAAGCAGAACACTGCATGAATGCGGCTTTTCTCTCAGAAGTGTCACAGTAAAGAGAGGGATCTGTTAATAAGCTACAGATTAAAATACCTTATTATCCTTGTGCAAATTATCAAGCTTAATGTTCTTGTGGGTGTTTGTGTGCAGGTGAGCAGCTCCCCAGCCTCTCTCCAGCTGTTGTCCATCCTGCAGACGTTGCTGGTGCTGGGACCAGGGCGCCCTGACATCTGGCTGGCTCTGGAGGCCATCACTAACAGAGCCATACTGCTCACCCAGGACTGTGAGTTAGCACAGCAGCAACAATGCTTTCACTCCAGATCAACACTTTAAAAGAGGCTAATGGCTGCTTAGTGGCCACATGGTGAAGACGAGTGATTATTCAGGCATATAGAGCGCCTTGAGATGAAAGGCAGGGAGCCGGTGTTAGGATGGCTGAAAGCTTCTGTTGTAGAGTGGGAAGCTAATTCACATCGTGTGTGTGTTTTCTGGTTTTGTGCTGCAGCTCAGATGGAGTCCTGTGAGAAGATCATGCAGCGGCTGATGGTTTTTAAAAGAAAAAGCTGCGACGATCGGCACGAGGTGGACGGACTGCGGGTCAAAGTGGATAAGGCTGTGCAGACGGAGCTGGATCACCCGTACACGGAGAAGCCAAACAAAAGCACACCGTCCCCTAAAAGGCCACTGTGTACCTCTGTTCCACCGCCACCCCCACCACCCCCTCTACCGCCCTCTAAGCAGTGCCCGCCACCACCACCGCCGCCACCTCCTCCACCGCTACCTGGAGGGTTTGCTGGTCCCCCGCCACCTCCTCCATTGCCTGGAATGGCTCCCCCACCACCACCACCACCTCCTCTGCCCTTTGGACCAGGGGTCCCCCCTCCTCCCCCGCCCTTACCAGGGATGGGTGGTGGGCCACCACCGCCTCCACCTTTACCCGGCATGCCTCCTCCGCCTCCACCTCCAACAGGCATGATTGTGGCCCAGAGTAGCCTGGCCCTGGGCTGCAGCGCGCCCTCAAAGACAAGCCGCTGTCCCACTCTGAGGATGAAGAAGCTCAACTGGCAGAAACTTCGCACTGTTACTGGTAAGCGGATAAAACCTCCATTTTTTTAAAATTTTTTTATTTTAATTTTAATAACTGTCAAATCTCATACTAATTCTTCTGTTGCATAAATCTGTATTATCAGCTCATACAGTATAGGTCCCACATTTTTAAATAGCAATAATTATGAGGAATTTAAGCAAAGGCATTGGCTGCTGCCATCTGTGTAGTGGACAGTTGATGGGAGTGGAGCGCTGACATGAATAGCGCTCCGAGTTGTTAAACCATCCAAAATTGGGTGTTAATTAATGTGGGTGTCGAAGGCTTCCCTCAAGTTTCTGGAAGGAGAGAGATGATCACTTGGCACAATGTCCGTACAAAAGTGGAGCCGCACAAGCTCATGACGGGTTACTCTTTTCCTTCGTGCACACAGATGGTCACTCCATGTGGGCCTCGGTTCAGAAAGAGCCGCCTCCTCACGAGCCCGACTACAGCAGCATCGAGCAGCTGTTCTGCCTCCCGGTGGCCGAACACAAAGACAAGGGGGCAGCTGCTCCTGTCAAGAAGGAGCCTAAAGAGGTGTGCTTGGTCAGCTCTCGACGGTGCTCCTCGGAGCAGAAACACTCAGAAAAACACTGCTAATAAGCAGAGGCGAACAATCAGTAATCCTGTTTTTGTTCTCTTACACCCCCCTTCTCCACCCACCTTTTTATAGATCACGTTCATCGACCCAAAGAAAAGCTTGAACGTGAATATATTCCTCAAGCAGTTCAAATGGTGAGATATCAAACACATTTTTGTGATTTGATGCGTTTTGCTCGTGCTTCTACCTTTTATGTTCTCTCCGTCCAGCACAAACGAGGAGTTTGTGGGCATGATCCAGAGTGGGGATCGGACTCGGTTTGACGTGGAGGTGCTAAAACAGCTGCTTAAGCTCCTGCCAGAGAAGCATGAGGTTTGTGCTGCCAACATCCTTACCTCGAGTGTTTTTATCTGCCAATTAAGGCCCTGCTTGAGAATGATGGTGCTTTGTCTGAGTCAGTGCTTTGTGTTTTCACGTAGATGGAGAATCTGAAATCCTACCAGGGAGAGAAAGACAAGCTGGCAAACGTCGATCGCTTCTACACCGCTCTCCTTACTGTGCCGTGGTAACCCCCCCCCTCTTTTAAGTTTATTTCTGCTTTAAGTGTTGCTTGCGTGGCTGCCGTGTGCGTGACTTCTTCTCTTCTCGCTCTTCTCTTCAGTTATCAGTTGAGGATTGAGTGCATGCTTTTGTGCGAGGAAACTGCATCAGTGTTGGAGATGCTCAAACCTAAAGTCAAGCTTATGGAGGAGGCCTGCCACTGTAAGTAAACCTTAGTCCCTCACCTGTGTTCGCATGCATTCAGCTATAATTCTTAAGGGAGGGGTTCACCTTAAAATCAGTTTTCTGGCTTTTCATCAGTGTATCTGTTGAACTCTTGACTCCAATGAAAGCACATGGCACTTGCCTTGAGGATATTCAAAGCAGAAAATGTTGGATTTGTGCAACTGCAACGTCTCTTTCCAGAAATCATGATGCAGCTACTCAAAAAAAAACCAAATCCATAATTCTTATTTTGAGCAGTTTTGTGTGGGAACTATTTTCTCTCTTTACCGAGCCATCTACACCTGGAAGGGTGTCTGGCTCTGCATTCTCCGAATCATGCTGGCTTTTTGCACAATGTGTGTTTTATTGAGCACTTCTAGCCACCACATCCATCTCCGAGGTGGCTTGAAGCCAAGTGAGACAGAGCGAAGCCCACGATCCTCCGCCAGGAAAAGGGTGGAGCTGAGCTATCGTCTCATGTGGAGGAGTTCACGTATTTACAGGTTTAGTTCGTGAGTGGAGGAGTGCAGGATTGGCAAATGGATTTGCTGCACGATATGCGGTGATGCGGGCAGTGTGTTAGTCTGTTATGGTGAAGAAAGAGCTGAGTGTGAAGGCGAAGCTGTCAGCTTGATTAGTCCATCCGCATCATGTTGTCATGACTGAGCACTGTTTGTACAGGTGAGGAACGTAGTCATCTGCGTTCACTCCTCCACAGCCAGCTGAGGTGAGTGGGTGTCTGACTACAATGCTATCCGGTCGCCTCCTAGGTGAAGACGTTTTGGGCATATCCAACAGGGAGAAAGCCCGGGACACACTGGAGACATTATGTGTGTCAGCTGGCTTGGGAGTGCCTCAGGAAGAGGATAAGGCAGTGGTTTGGGGAGGAAGGAAATTGAGTAGATGGATGAATATATCCACCAGCTTAATGCGAGTAGATGGCATTACAGCCCAGGTGAGAGGAGTATCATTAATGTTTACGTCCTGTTATCTGTCACAGGCGCATGCTTCACGTGGGGATGGATGTGGGCTTCCTTCTGTTCAGTGATGACGATGCATTCACTTAAGCAAGAAAAAAGTTCCTGCACAACGAAGCTTGTCTATTTGCTAAATAACTGGGACATCATTTATGAAAATAGCACAACAGGCCTGATTGTGGAAAAATAAGGAAATTTGATTAAGGGTGAACTTTGTTTTAATTGGCTAGCTTAAAATATGTCTTATATGTCTTATAACACAATGTCACTGGTTTCCCAGCTCTTAGAACGAGCACGCTCATGCCCAGTTTTTGCAGGCTCATCCTCGACGTGGGAAATTTTCTCAACTATGTAAGAACCTCATCCCTCATTTCTCCATCAGTTGAGCTGACATTTAGACAGTTTGCATTTTTAATCACTGGTCCACTTTCAGGGAAGTCACACTGGGAACGCCGAGGGGTTCAAGATTAGCTCCCTGCTCAAGCTCACAGAAACCAAGGCCAACAAGAGCCGCATTACGCTGCTTCATCACATCCTGGAGGTACGCAAACTGGCCAGCAGCTACTGCAGTGTCTTTTGGGGGTTATTTTCTCCTCAGTCATGAAATTGTTTAATCACCCATTGCATGGCTTGTTTTGCAAAGGAAGCAGAGGCAAACCACCCAGAGCTGTTGGCTCTACCGGATGAAATAGCCATATGTGAAAAGGCAGCAGGGTATGGAAATCTTTCATGCAAACTTAGTCTTAATTTTTTTTTCTTCAACTATTTTGTCAAAGATTTCTAACACTTGGCGCTTGTCACCCTTGCTCCTCAGAATTAACCTGGACTCTGTTCAGTCAGAAGCCAGTGCGTTACTCAAACGGCTGAATGAGACAGCCAAGAAAGTCTCCAACTCTGCGGAGGAGGTGAAGGAGCAGTATGCAAAAGTTCTCGAGGTAAAATGTCAATCTTTGCTTTTTCTCCAAATGGCTGCAAAACTGCATAACTCGGCACTGTTTTCTTGGCAGCTGGATCCACATCCCAAATGCTTCTCTCTCTCTGCTGCAGGCAAATCTGGAGTTGTTCGGAGAATTAAACGAGAGATTCGCCGCGATTGAGACGAAAAAGGGTGAACTGGCTGTCTATTTATGTGAAGATGCCAATCAGCTGTCACTGGAGGAACTCTTCGGTACCATCAGGACTTTCCGAGGACTCTTCATCAAGGCGCTGAAGGTCAGAGGCCGCTTTGGTTGATGTCAAGCATTATGAGACAATCTTAAGATTGTGTGTGTGTGTGTGTGTGTGTGTGTACTTGGCACTGTTAAATCTTCCTCTTGTGTGTGGGAGGTAGTGTTTTGTTTGTAACATTTGTATCAATAAACTGTGGAAAACTAAGACATGTTAATATGCTACAGCCCAAATGACACAAAGACAAACTGCTATGTACATTTTGTACTTGCGAGATAGTGAAATCCTTCCTTAATGATAACAGGAAAACAAAACTCGGACAGAACAGGTGGCCAAGGCTGAGAAGAGAAAGAAGCAGCTGGCAGAGGAAGAGTCCAAGAGACAGAAAGGAGAGAATGGGAAAATAAGTAAGTTGTGAAGAGCGCTGTGTTCTTCTACTGTACTAGAAAATTTTGAACAAGATGTGATGTGACTATCGTGTTTCCCATGTCCTCTTTGTGCCCTTCTTTTTAGTCAAGAAAGGTTTTGTGCCGCAGAACGACGGCTGCATCATAGAAAACCTCCTGGCGGACATCAGAAAAGGTTTCAGCCTCAGAAAGACCCGGCCAAGGTGCGATTCGGAAAGCCTCCCTTCTAGTGAAATGCGTAGGGATACCTGCCCACATGGTAAGGATACGAGGCCGTGGTCTCCATCCGCAGTTCCTAGCTCCGCTCCTGATCCGCTTAACCGCGAGCCACAAAACTGCCTTGTTGGATTATTTGTGCTTCTGCACCGCCTCCCGTCTCGCTAAGTTAGCGCCATTGCTTTTTGTTTGTTTTTGTTTTTTGCTTTGTGGAGCCCATGTGAGCATTTCTTTTTATGGAGAGCCTCTAGTCGTCCTGTCTCATTGCTTGCTGCAGAACATCCCCTAACTTCAGATGTTAACTGATCGGCTGTTCTGTCCCCCAGGATCAAGTGTGAAGTCTGTAGGCGAAGAAGCCGTCGACATGGCCACCATTTCCGCTCCTACCACGTCTCGGACAGAGGGTCGCCACAACAGCACGGGCGAGGTGAACGGCTTTATAAGCCCGTCAGAAGAGACTCTGCCGGCTCCTCAGCTGAATGCAGTGCACGACGGCACAGCCGCACCTCCAAGCACACTCCCAGGAAAGACAGCTCCAGCGGCACTCCTGGGAAGACCTACATCTCTGCAGCCAGAGAAAGATGCAGCATCACCCATAGATGTGACTCAAGCTCAGTCTCAGGTTAAAGGGGACCACCAACCATGCCTCCCCACAAATGGCTTTTCACTAGATTCAGCAGAGACCAGCGTCATCAGTCCTTCATCCCTCTCAGACTCTGACCTGCTGGAGGCTACGTTTGACGACACACCCAGCCCGGCCCCCGAGCAGCCAACGGATCTTAGCGTAAACGTTCATGTCAAAGAAATTCCAAGTACGGACACAAAGCGGAGCATGGAAAGCGATATTATGGGAGAGGGGAAAGGAAAAACTACTAATAAACCAAGCCATTTACCAGAGACTGTAGGGCAAGAGAAGTGGCACGAGGAGACCGCGTACACGGGGGCGAAAACGTCTGGCCAAGACGAGGTCGATAGTTGCAAACTTGCAGACCCCAAGAAGAGCCTGATTACGCTCGATGAAGGCATCGTGCAATGCGACGTCCAAGATGCACTGGAACCAGAAGATCTGGCATCTGTGTCCGAAGCCCTTAAGCCAGACCCAAAGAAACAGATGAAGCTCTTTAAACGAAACAAAAAGAAGAGTAATCAAGGTAACCTATCCATTCACTTCAATAAAGGCCATCTCTGGAATGCTAGCCTCTTGACGTTTCTTAAAGCGAATCCTCTGTTAGTGTTGTTTTTATTCCATTTAACATTTTATATCTTATGTATGGGCTATTTTACTATATGTGCATAAATATTTTACATGAATACATATCATTTAAATTAAATAGTTTGAATGCAGCGTGCAGCATTTGTCTTGAAGATTGAATACTGAATGGATTTTTTTAAAACCTGTGGTCCCTTTTTGTTTGAATGTTCTGTTTTCCGTTCTGAAACACAAGGTAACAGTGGGAAAGGACACACTAAACATAAAACAGGCTGTGTGTTGCAGTGAGGTAGGTCAAGTCGATGGGATGGCAAACCGTAAGCCGGAAATTAACTCAATCATCGTCAGAGCTTTTGTTCCAAATAACACGTCATCTGTTGGTCTAACCGGAATCTGGATCTCATTTGTCTGTGTTGTCCGACTTTTAACACACGGCCGTCTCTCTTAACGCTCTCCCAGTTTAGCTGGTTGTCGGGCTAAACTCTTGGGGTTTGTGATATCTGTTAAACTTGAGCCGGGGGGCAAAATAAAAGTATTGTCTTGTGCAATAATAACTCATCTTTAATTAGTGGTTAATCTATTGAAATTAAGTTTTCTGATCTCAAACAGCCTCGCCGTTTGTGGAGTCTCTGTGAAGCCATTGTGGACAGTTATTTCATGAAAGCTGTCACTTTTGTGTCCTCTTCTTCTTCCTCCATATATTCTTGTCCATTCTCTGAATCTGCAACGATTTAACCTGCTAACAGTCTCGTGTGCTTCTTGTAAGCTGTTTTGTTAATTAAACTTTAATTAAACATACTGTACATGATATAAAATGTATTAAAAAAAATTAACTCAAACTCTGGGCATCTCTAAGCCAATAATAGTGTTTGCAAGCAAAGCGCCTCTCTGCCAAGGGCCTTTGAGCCGGCAGTGTCGCTTACAGAAATAACTGTGAAAGGTATTAAAGTACACGCTTTCATTCGCACTATTGATTTGAGCATTTGTTCTCTCTAGGTGACTCCAGAAAAAGAAAATCGAGAGGGAAAAGAAAATGCTGACTTCCGAGCAGGAGTTCAGAACAGTTTATTTTATTGGGATTCCATAATGTTGATTGGAGGATGTGGAAGTCTTCTGTGAAGCCTCATCCTGACCAAGAAGAGCGACCACATCTGAGGCTGGGATTATTATTATTTTTTTCTTCAATAAATGTTTATTTCTATAGCACCTTTCAAGACAGCATCACAAAGTGCTGCACATAAGATTACAAGTCATAAAAAGATTTAAAAAGAGAAAATAAAACAGGCAAAAAATTAACCAAAAGCAGTTTTAAAAAGATGAGTTTTGAGTTGTTTTTTTTTAAACAGCGACTGAGTCTGCAGTTAATGTTTGGGGAAGAGAGTGCCACAGTGGCAAAAGCTCTATCAGCCTTGGTTCTCCTCTTAGTTTTCACGTTACCGAGTCACTTTATGTAAACTGGAGGGTTTTTGTGTTTATGAGGACTATTTTGAGGGGGAGAAAAAAAGCTAAATGTTCTTTATGTTTGTATAATTGTTGTAATATGCAGTGAATGTGTTTTTGCTATAAGCTTTGTTTATGTTTGCAGCACCCATAAAAAGATGCAGTGTTTGGTTTGAGATATTGAATCATAAAATAATACAAATCTTATGTCTTAATTTCTTTGTTAATCAAATGATCTGCGACAGGATATATGCGTATAAAGGAGAGCGAGAATGGACTGTAACTTTTAATGTTGGGTATATTTTAATAAAATTGAAGATACTGTTCGTCTGTTCTGTTTTTGATCGTCTGATTCGCATAGATGGCGGTATTGAGGCAATCTGAATCGGTTAGAGAAGCCTCAAAAAGTAATGTTTAAGCAATTCCACCTTCGTGACGGTTGTGTAAAAACTGTTATCTCGGTGCTTCAGCAGCTTTGGGGGTGATTTGTTTGAGCACAGCTACGTACTTCTGTGCGTCTGGCTCTGACATCATCGGATATGCGGTTACACATATGGCAATGCTGCTCTTGGAGACAGTTGGGTCTTCTTGAGGCGGACAGGCTCAAGGCAACACCATCATGTCGCTCAGCTGGTCGGGGAAAGACCAAAAAAACGCAAATCAACCCGCTGCCACCGGGCAGAAGCGACCGCGTAATGACGCGGGGAACAAAGTGACCGTGGTGCTCGGTGCGCAATGGGGAGATGAGGGGAAAGGGAAGGTCGTGGATTTACTGGCTACCGAAGCTGACATTGTCTGCAGATGTCAGGTAAACGTGTGGATTTGATTTGCCTGTGAGTGGTGCTGCTGAGTATTTTTGCATGAATTCGTGATCTCACGATAAATTCTGTGACTTGCTGGCGCCTGGTAATGTGCAACAGGTGCGAAAGCGAAAACACTCGCACCTCCGGTATATTTAACGCGAGTGTAGCTGTGGATATTTTTCCCCACTACAATAAAGCGACGTGTTTATATTTGTGACGAATTTAAAATATGCAATAGGCAGCTGTGACAGCTCAAAACGAATGTCTTAAATACTGTCAGGCATCATGAATAAGTGCACTTTTTCGAAACCCTGACTACTCTTTTAATGCTTGTAATCGACCTAACACCTCGGGTAAATTTCCTCTGACTGACTCTTTCTGATTGCATTAAATCATCAATAAAAACAGGTCCAGACAGGTCAGTCTGTGACCCGGCCTTGCATAAGACACATAACGGTCAAGAGGTCTCTTCAGCTCCAGCAGGCACGGAGAAGGCTGTCAACAGCCTGCAGTGTTGTACTACTGACAGGACTAGAACCCTGTGTTCTGAAGGCTTGAGAGCCCAACCCACCGGGCTCCAGGGGTCACATTCTCAGGCTGACATGATACATGAGAAGGCCAGGTCTTATCCAGGGGGGAACAGAGTGGAGGATCCACCAGCAACAGCCAAGTCTGTTAGTTAAAATAGATGCTCGAAAAGCTCAGGAAAGAGGGCACTTATCACTCATCATAAAAATCAGACGGGGCATGTTAGTGTGGCTAAAAGTGATGAGGTGGCCTTGGGTGTTTGATTGTATGTCTTGCTCATTGCCAGTTACTATAATTATTAATAATAAACATTCTTTGATCCATAGGGCGGGAATAATGCAGGACACACAGTGGTGGTGGATGGGAAGGAGTACGACTTCCACCTTCTCCCCAGTGGGATCATTAACCCCAAAAGCATATCTCTTATTGGTAAAGGCTTCAATTTCTATTATTTACAGAGATGCACTATTATTCAAATATTTGCCCTCACTTGCTTTTTCCCTTCATCTTCTAGGTAATGGAGTAGTTATACATCTACCTGGTTTGTTTGAAGAAGGGGATAAAAATGACAAGAAAGGTATTTTTAGCAGAAATGAGTGAAACTAGTGTGGACTCAAATTAGCATGTAATCATGTGATTTCTATTCTCTGACCAGGTCTGAAAGGCTGGGAGAAGAGACTCATTGTCTCAGACAGAGCTCACCTCGGTACATCTATGAAGATGTTCTTTGTTTCCATGTTTAAATATATATATATATATATATATATATATATATATATATATATATATATATATATATAGCCCGTTTAATTCATCTCTTCAAGGTTGCATCTTATCGATCGTTTTTTCTGTCTCTCCACAGTGTTCGATTTCCACCAGGTTGTTGATGGCTTACAGGAAACTGAAAGACAAGCGCAAGAAGGAAAGAAGTAAGGGTAGCGATAGTGAGGAGGGCAGGACACCATTCAGAGTCAGCCTGACCCTTTCCCAAAGGACGCAACACGATAATTTATTGAATACAACACTGATCTCACACATTGTTTTACGTAATAGCATTGGAACTACCAAGAAGGGCATTGGACCTGCATACTCCAGCAAAGCATCTCGCACTGGTCTACGCGTATGTGATCTCCTGGGTGACTTCAAGGACTTCTCTACTAGGTAGGAATGGTGTGTAAAACTCAGGCAGAGGAGTCAAATCCATTTGTATACAGTGATATGTCATGGGTAACACCTCTGGTAAATCTCTTTAGATTCAAGAATCTCGTCCAACAGTATCAGTCCATGTATCCATCCTTGACGGTTGACGTTGAGGACCAGCTGAAAAAACTAAAGGTAGAAACTGATAAGAGTGATGTTATTGAGTGACTGTCTGTTATTGTTTCCAGCACTGAGACATATCTCTGTTTTCTTGCTTCATGGAGGAATTCGCTGAGAGATTGCGGCCGATGGTTAGAGACGGTGTTTATTATATGTACGAAGCTCTTCATGGCCCCCCTAAGAAAATTCTGGTTGAAGGGGCCAATGCTGCTCTGCTTGACATCGACTTTGGTAGGAGCCATAGCAATAGTTTTGTTGTTTTGCTTTTTTTTTCACTTTACTTTGGATATGGGTGATGAAAAGGGAAGAAATCGCTGCTGCTGTAATATACAAAATTGTCTCTCTAGGAACATATCCTTTTGTGACATCATCAAACTGCACCGTGGGAGGAGCATGCACCGGTCTCGGCATCCCTCCGATGAATATTGGTGAGGTGTTTGGCGTCGCGAAGGCCTACACGACCAGAGTCGGCATTGGAGCCTTCCCCACCGAACAGCTCAATGTGAGTGCCTGGTATCGCAGCAGCACTTGGCAAATCTTGTCACGCGTTTGGCTTTTGGCCTTCACGGTCTGTGTATTGTAAAAAGAGACACATGACATGTTATGTAACACGCAGATATTCAGCTTGACATATACAGTTTGTTTGTGATCCCCCAGCTGACACACAGGCAGCACGGCTGGCATGCCTGTGTGTGAAGGGGGGGGGGGGGTATTCTCACTGAGTGCAGCTGTCAAATTTTGTGAGAGACGGCTCTTTACATCTTTTCCAGATCACATGTTCGCAGGGATAAATTTAGGGTCAGACTCTTAGTTAAGGATATATTTACTGTGTGTGCTGGGGTTAATGTTACCTGTAACGGGAACAGGCCATAGGGACTAAGGTCAAGATGTTCAAAGGGCATCCTCCAACTCGTGATGTTTTATTGTACTCGGCTGTGTGTACTTAATATGCATGTATTTTTATTTATTTATTTTTAGATCTTTAGGATCATAACAGGCAGAGATGTTTATTTCTTGCTTATTTCTGTAGGCAATAGGAGAGCTGCTGCAGACGAGGGGTCACGAAGTGGGTGTGACCACGGGAAGGAAGCGACGTTGCGGCTGGCTGGATCTGGTCATCGTCAGATATGCTCACATGATTAATGGTTTCACTGCGTGAGTGATTAGGACTGGTGCTCATCTGCTGCTTTGTGGTTTTTGTGTTTTATCCCACGAGCATGCCATTTTCCTGCACCGTCACACAGCCTGACACTGATTAACCGCACATGTTAAATGTGACATCTATTCAACAGCATTGCTTTGACAAAACTTGACATTCTGGATGTGCTGGATGAAATTAAAGTTGGAGTTGCCTACAAACTCAACGGGAAGAGGATTCCCCACTTTCCAGGTTGTGGAAAAGAGTAAACGATTTCCCTAATTTGATGGTCTTTGTTTAGGACTGACTGATTAAAGAGTTGGTAATAACTGGTTTCTTTTCAACACAAAGCCAACATGGACGTTTTGCAGAAAGTGGAGGTTGAATATGAGACCTTCCCAGGTTGGAAGACAGACACTTCAGCAGCTAGGAAGTGGAATGACCTCCCAGTCAAGGCACAAAACTACATCCGCTTCATTGAGAACCACATTGGAGTTCCTAGTACGTGTGAGAGAAAATAACACTCGTGTATCTCAATATAAATTTTCTCACACATAACCAAAACTCTTTGTGCTCTTTTCTCTCTTCTTAGTCAAGTGGGTTGGCGTTGGAAAGTCCAGAGAGTGCATGATCCAGATGTTTTAAGTCTTTATCCCACCCCCTTCCCTTGATGGAAGCGCTGGCAGTGTGTCATGTTGAAGCATGTTTCTCCAAGTTACCTTCACTTCATTATATAATAAACAAACATATAAGCTTTGATCCACGCTAACTGTGTTTGTTGTGTTGTAGTTAAATATCCCACTGTTTTTGTGAGTCAAAATATTGGATTTATAAATACATTTATAGCCATATCGCAAATCAAAAACGTGGATGTGTTTCCATGATCCAATAAAGAAAACGTTTTATGATAATCTGATTTCTGGAGCCCAGTCTTGCTGTTTTCAAAAAATGATATAATTGTCTATATATTACTAATTTACTGTTAGCTGAGTCCATTGGGACTGTATTG